TGGGACGTGGATGCAGATTCCGCCTACACAACCCTTTGTCCCCGAGACGGGACGATTGCCACGCCGACAGAATCTTTCCCCCAACCGGTCTTGCTGCTCTTACCCTCTGGATGACCTTCCGGTCTTTCCTACACAAGAGGGCCCACGGTTATTTCCTTAGTAAATGGAGGTATCCTTTGGACCGACATTGCTTCTCTGGTGGCTCAGCCAGTATAGAATCTGCCTGCAATGCAAGAGACCTGAGTTCGCTCTCTGGGTCGGGAAGATTCCCCGGAGAAGGGAATGGCCAGCCATTCCAGTGTTCTTGCCTGGAGAATCCCTACAGAGGAGCCTGGTGGGTTTCAGTCCATGGGGTCACAAAGAGTCGGACACAACTGAGCAACTATACTACCACTACTTGAACCAATGTTAATGGATTGCCTCCTAAGTGCAGGCTCTCTGGTCTACGGGAAAAGGATAGTTAAGCAGACACAACCCAGAATGATCCAAGAAGGGCACCCAAGCCAATCAGCCTGCCTGGAGGGGAAAGTCAGGGAGGCTTTCTGGAGAAAGCAGGCAAGTTCAATGATTAATAAAAGGGGAGGAAGGGGAGGGTTCCCAGCTAAGAGAGTCCTCAGAATTACCTACCTCTTTAGAGTGACTCCCACACTCACATTCAGAGAGGGCTGTCCAGAACCTTCTTAAAGCCAATGGGTGGAGTTGGGGGTAAAGATGGGGGAATGGAATGGAGCCCTGTTCTTCTTTAAAAGGGGTCCCCATCCACCTCTCTAAGCAGATCAGCACATGGGCAGAATGCTTATATGTACAGAGCTTTCCACAGGTTTAAGGGGAAAAAAAAAAATCTATAAAACAAAAGATGAAACCCCCAGACTGCTAAGGAGTCCCACTTCCTACCACCTCAGTTGGAGGAATGCCTCCGTGGGAATGGAAATGCCTGGAGACGAAGCCCGGGTGGGCAGGGGTTGGCAGGTCTTCGGTAAATACCCGGTATGAAGATCAGGACTGGGTGGAAGAGAGACCTGTGGTGGATCCATTCTGTAATCAGGTCTATTCGGCAGCGCCAAGTCAGGTTGCCAGGCTTGCCTGGTTTCTTCTCACAAGGCATCTGCCCCAGAGCACTGGGGTCCGCACACTCACGGTCAGAGCCCCCCACTCCTCCAGCACAGCCCGCTCCAACAAGCCTGGACTGGCACAGCAGGGGCCAAGCGAGTGTCCAGGGAGCTGACCTCCGCTGGCTCCACCACAGAGACGGCCAACCTGCCTGTGTCTGTCTCCAAACTCAAAGAGAAAGAAAGGGCAGGGCTGGGCCCAGACTGAGATCAGGGAGTCAGGAAGCGCTGCCTGAAATGAAGCCAAGAAACCAAGTCCAGATTCCAAAGGCGGATCAAGGAGGGCCTGGGCAGCCTCAAAGGAGAACGCTGCAGGGAATGGTCCACAGTGGCTCACGGGGAACAGAGCCCCATCACCTGATCCTGGACAAGCAAGGGACCTGCTCAAGCCTCAGTCTTCTGATCTGAGAAATAGCAAGGATGTCTCCTATCTCAAAGGAGATGCCTTGAAATCACAAGGCACTTTAGCTGAATAAAAGCTACCTATTCCAGATTCTGGAGATATGAGAAATGTGGCCCCCCTCTTCCTTTTGCTCTCCCTCAGTCATCATTCTGGAGCAAATATCCTCCTCTCTGGCAGTACATTCTAGCCCAATCCGGCCCAGGAAGCTTTGAAACAATGCAGATCCCTTACCCATCCCAGACCTACCAGTCCTGGAAATCTGCATTTCAGACAAAGTTCCATTATATTTTTATCCAATCTGCATAAGCCTAGCTTTCTGTAAAAACTTCAAGAAGCAAAACATGAATCCAGCATTTGCAGGCCCTCCCCAGACAATGCCTTGAGAAAGCCATTTGTGGAAATGGTTGACCATAAGTTCCCTCATGGTGACCTCACAGGCAAGTACTGTTCTCAACTCTTGCCATAGATTAACTCAATTAATATTTACACGTCCTGGTGAGACAGTATCTGTTACTCTCAATTTTAAGGCAGGGTGGGGGTAACTGAGGCCAGAGCTCTGGCTGGCCTCTCTACGCTTTTCACTCAAGCCTTTTTGCAGTTACCCAAACGTGCCATCATGAAAAACAAACAAAGGCTTTCAGGTCTGACGCTCTGGTTTCTCAGCTTGCCCCTCTCACTTCCAGTCACATAGCCCACAAGCAAGTCCCTTAAACATTCCTGGCCTTGGTTTTCCCATCCATTCAATGGCGCCAAGACAGCGCAGGCAGAGCTATTGCGAGGATGAGAGGGGCTGTGGGATATAGCTGCTGATTCGAAGAGAGAGAAAGGTCCTGTCCCTTCCCGGCCCCCTCTGCCTGAGTCAGGGCCCCTCCCTGCTAGAATCTTAGATGCTGAGTCATCATCCTGGCTTCCCTTCTGAAGCACAGGGCCTTCTGAGTCACGCTTTGGATGGGATTCTCTGGATCCCAAGGAAGAACTGCAGTTTCAGGCCGTCAGAAAAACACAATGAGATCTTTCTTCCCCATCCATGCTGAGGCAGCTCAGGCCAGGAGATTTCGGCGCACTGAGGGCGGGGGTTGCTTTGTTCACATTTGGGGTCCAGCCTGGGCAGCCCAAATCTGGGCCACCACCACGCAGCAGGGCTGCAGCCCTTTCTCACTACGCTGATTCTGCTCCTATCTCAAGAACTCGTGATTCAGACTGAAAATCAACTGACCCATCAATCACCCACATTCTGTCTGGGAAGTTTCCCCGCCAGAAACGCAGTGAGGATCCAACTCATTTTCTGACAGCAGAAAGTGCATCTCTCAAGACTGGGGCCCCCGCTCACCACCTCCCATCACAGCCAGGAGACTCAGACCGACTCCAGGTTTGGCCCCTCCTCAGCAAGTCATTCCCCGCCTTTGGGTCTCAGTGTCCATCTGTCAAGCGGGCAGAAGTTGGACCAGGAACTTGTGTGAATTTTTAATTCCTCCAAATTATTAAACCAACTGATAGCAAGCCTGGATTTGCTTCTCAGGAAAAGAGACCCCAAAAGATCCTCCAAGGTCTCCTTGGAAAGCGCAGTCACATGCTATCACCAAAAATTCAACTGCCTGTGGTATCACAGGGGAATGGGGCCGTTCAATTGATTCAGTGTCTATCTGATCTCCTCCCAAGGGCCTGGCCCTGGGCCAGGTGCCAGGTGCCATAGCAAGGCAGGCGACGCCTTCTTTCTCACTCTAAGGTGCCACAAAGCTATGGAGTCCCAGATCTGGGGACATCTGGCTTCGCTCCTTACCCCAGAGCACTGTCTCTTTAAAGGTATCCTATCACTTCCTGACCACCCCTGTGTCCCCTCCTCCCCTGACCCCCACCCTGGGCCACCCCAACAGTTACCACCACAGAGGGCTGGGGTCTGCACCCTTGTCTGCATTTCTGCCCTGGCTGGGGACCCCCTGAAGCCAGGTGCTGGGGGTTGCACTCTCTGTACCCTGCTTATTTCAGTTCACCTTTGTGAAACTCAGTCAGGATTCCAGCATTTCTATCCAGGAGGAAGCTGGGCTGGAAGGTCTGCCTGGGGACTGCATTTGTTATGGCAAGAACACACTCTGTGTATAGATATTCTGTTTTTTAGGAGGTGAGGTATGGCTGATGGCTAAAGCCCTCCTGACTGGCCACTGGCTGCACTCTTTCGGAATCTTTCATCTTTCCCAGTAACTCAAAGGAACCCAACACACTCAAGTGCCCAGGACATTTGGGGAAGAAGACGTGGTCTGGGCACAAGACAATCGCGCCCTCCCCTACCAGCTGCCGGGCACCTCCCCCCCACTCCCCGTCCAAGCCACAAGTCGGTGCTGCCCCAGACCTAGAGAGATGTCTGACAGCAGACGCGACAGACGGGAGAGTGGGGGAGGTGGAGCGGAGTAAGGCAAATAGCCACTAAATCCCAGCTTCAGCCACTAATGTGACCCAAGCGGTGACAGCGCGTTTCCCCCGGAGCCCACCACGGTGCACACGCCCTGCCCCCGCTGAATCCGAGACCGCGGCGGATCTCCCAGGAAGGGCCGAGCGAATCCAGCTGTTCCCCTCTCCTGGGAGGGCAGGAGAGGCGGGCCCGTGAGGCAGGGGAGAGAAGGAAAGCTGCGGAGAGTGGGCGGAGGCGAAAATGACGCCACTCGAAGCCCCAGCCAGCGCAGAGCGGCCAGATGCCACAAGACCCCGCAGGTCCAGGCCACCTCTTGCGCGCCGCCACAGCGCCCACCCCGGGCCACCTAGGGGGGCGCACCCTGCCCAGCGACGCTCGCCAACCCTCGCTCCCGCGCGTGTCGCTCTCGCTGGGACGCTAGGACCCTTCCCCAACACACACGCGCGCGCGCCCGCGCGCGCACACACAGGCTTGCTCCACCCCGACTTCCAGGCTGAATGGGCCCCCGCCCCTCAGACACACACTGGTTGGGGGCAGAGTCTGGGAAGCAGACACACCCACGTCCCCTTCTCGAGCCTCGTCCCTAGCGCCGCTCATCCCTAGCTATCTCCTTTCTACAGGCGCGCTCAATCTTTCCTTCCCCAGACACCCCACTCCAGGAACACACCCCACCTCTACCCTCAATCACACACACTCCTGTCTCGCCTCCTCCCAGGTCCAGCGCGCCCTCAGCCCCGAGGCGCCCATGAGCCGGGAGGGCCTTGGGAAACAGGGATTAGGTGTTGGGGCTCTCCACTCCCCACCCCGACCCTCAGGATCCCACTTCCTCAGCTAGGGGAAAGGTGAACCCGGACCTGTTTTTCCCTCTTGCTGCCGAATCAAATACGCCCACACCAGCAGTGCTCGCGCCCCCAAAGCCCCTCCTGGCCTCGCCCTCGCGCCACCGGGAAACCGAGCACTTGCAGCTCCGGGAGTGGGGGAGGAGGAGGGTGCTGGCCACAAAAGGTGGTCCAGCAGAGGTAGGAGCACCCACGGGCGATCGATCCCTCCCCTCCTGGCGGGAAGAGGGCGTCGGGCTTACCTGAGGCAGAGGGAGAAAAGCGAAAAGGACCCGGAGCTAGGTTGGCGGCGCCCAGAGGAAGCGAAGAGAGCGGCGAACACAGGCGTGCGCCCCCGAGCCGGAGCTGGGAGCCAGACGAGGTTTGTTTATGCCCGGGAGGAGGGCGATTTTATAGGCGCCGCGGCCCCGCCCCCCGCGCCTCGCCCCGCCCCCGCCCCCGGGGCCCACTAGCCGCGGGGACACACCCCTCGCGGCTCCCTCCTCCCCGGCGCTCCTCCCGCTCCCTTGGGCGCGCCTGGCCGTGCTGGGGAAGCGCGCTGGGGGCGCCAGCCCGAGCCGCCGCCTGTTGCGCAAGCCCGCGTGGAGGCGAGGCGGGAGCGGCCCTCCCGGTCCCGGCGGCCGTTCCGCAGCGCTGTCCCATTCCTCGTCCGCAAGGCCGGGGCCTGGGCGTGTGCAGCGGGCGTGTGTGCACCGGGCATCCATTTGGGCGCGGGTGCGTGTGCTTGTTCGCGCTCACGCGTGTGCGTGTGGACCTCCGTGTGTCTCTGTGTGACCGAGTGGCCCCCCTCTCCGTCTCAGAGTTTCCTCTTCCGAGTCCCCTTGCGCCACGCCTGGACATCCCTTAGGAGCGACTCCCCCACTTCCTCTGGGTCTTAGATCCTAAGTCCCGTGTGCTGCCTCCTTTGCTTCCTGGAGACCCTTTCCCTGCGATTCGCATCCCATGACCCTTCCTTGTTGCATCAGCTTTCTGTTGAAACCCAGACTCCCGCTTAATCACGTCCATCTTGCTCAGCCCGTCCCAATGCTTGGGCCCCCTCACCCAACCCCAGTAACTTAGTTCTAAGCCCACCTGCCCTTTCCCGCCCTGCGTCCCTCTCCCCGCCCCCAGAACCCTGGCAGAAAAGGAAGGTTCTCGCTCCTTCCTCTCCAGGTTCCCAGAACTTGTACTGAGCACCCTTTGCGCGCTTAGCCGCCTTGTCTACTGCCTGGTTTGTGACTCCGTGTTCCCAACCCTCTGTGCTTACCAATATCCCCCGTGGAACTTTTTATTTTTTTAGAAGGTACGGGCCAGGGCTCCATCCCAGGGTGGTTTGATCAAAATCTCGGGGAGTACAGCCCAAGAATCTTTTAAGAGCTTCCCAGATGGTTCTAATGTGCAACCCGGGTGAGACTCATTGCACCGGGAGAATATCATTTTATGGATGAACGAAGACCCTACCATTGTCCCCAGACCCCTTGCCCAGACTTGTATTGGCTTGCATCTGCACTCTTCCTCCAGCCCTCTGCCCGATGGTGGTAAACCTCTTCCCTCCACCAGCCCAGGCTTTGTTCAAGACAGGGCCCTATTTCTCCGTTGTGCATCCCATTGGCCTCCAGGGGCCCTGGTATTTACCTAGTCTGTCATTACACAAATATTTATTGAGTCACTGCTTTGAGCCAAGTCCTGTGCTCAGCGGCTGGGGAAAAGGACTGAAAAGCCAAGGAGCCCCAAGATTCAGTTTCCCCATTCACCCAAAGGGAAGGTTAAGCTGGGCTCATTTCTTGGGTAACTGGATTGAGCACCTACTCAGCCTCTGTTGTATACACTGGGGAGATGGTAATGAACAAAATTAGGCCAGCTTTCTTTTACTCCACTCACACACATCCATTTCCCCTTTTCTCCCCTATTTCGACTCTCAGCATTTATTGAGCCACTCTGTTTATTACCTGGCAAAAGATATAGAGGCCTCAAGTTCAAAAGTGGAGTAGGCCACTACTTCCTCAATAACAAATGGGAGCCCTGGCATGTGGACTGGAGAAGGGCGCTTTGCCAGGAGAAGCCACTTCCACCCCTTTGAGGAAGACTTGGGGGGTGGAGCACCCAGAGCAGTCCAGACCTGCAGCGGGTTCTGCCTACTTGGCCTTAGGAACCCAAGCCTTCCGGAAGACAATGAGCAGAGAGCAAGTGGGCGGATCAGGGAGACAAGATACCAGAGACAAAGAGAGGCGAAAAGAAGAATTTTACCGGAGTGGGGGGTGGAGTCGGGGGTGGGGCGGGGGGTGGATAGCATTTTCTGAGACTGGCGGCATTCTCCAACCAGGGTGAAAGGAAATCACTGCAGAGTCCAAAGCAGCTAGGAAAAGTTCTGAGGAATCACAGACTCCCTCTCATGGGTCCAACACAGCCAGTTTTTCCTTCAGTGTTGCAATACTTTGCTGTTTCTGCAATGCGCTGAGTGCCCAGATGAAGCCGTTTTCCTGCATCCACTTGTGGGAAGGAAGGACTCAGGGGCAGCCCTGGATGGGCACCCAGGTAGAAGGTGCTCCCCCTGTGGAGTGGCCCCAGAGCGCTGAGAGCTTCCTGCACCGCTGGCCCCCCAGCCCAGGTCAGCTGAGACAGCAGAGCTCTCGGAGCCAAAAGTGGGTGCAATTGTATTGAGCCGTTTAAATTATTTCTCTTTCTCGCTGGTCAGCAACAGAATTAGATTAGTGAATGCACACGTGGTACAGATCCATCACTGAGTGAGATTGGATTTTCTGGACTAACGTCCCTGGAAATTTCTAGTTAGCAGCATGGAAATTTTTTTTTTTAAATAGACTGTTCTCACTAGAAGGACCAGAGGCATCATCCATTCCCAAGCTTCTTTCTTGGAGTTCATGGGTGCTGGAGCGATCTAAAGCTAGAGTTCATGGGAATAATGCTTGATTTCTCCACCTCGGTGCTGTGGTCCCTTGGGCAGTTACCCCACCTGTCTTGACATTCATCATGAATGTGGAGAAGATGGGTAAGAGGAGCCGCTGGACCTTCTGGCCACAGTGTATGAACTCCCTGATGCGGTTCCATGTTTTTAAAGATGAAAAAGATGAAAAGTTAGCATCCCCTCATCCTCGTATTGGGCTCTCCTCCATATCTCCCTCTCTTGTGAATCATTCTGATCTACAAGTACACATTCACAGCAATCAATGACGCATCCTAATAATCATCTCTTACCCCAAGTTCCCCTCCAGTTACTGTAGCCTCTTCTTCCCCAAACTTCTCTAAATAGATGCCCATCTACATCGTCTCCACTTCCTCATCTCCCCTTCCTTTAACTTTATAGTGTTTAATATATCAAGTTCCTCGGGAGTCAGTCCTGGCTTAATAAATCTACAAAGCTCTTTAAGGAAAACAGTAGCCTTCTCTGTATCCACATACCACCTCCCCATTCCCCCATACTCCTTCCTCCCTCCCCCACCCCCAGTCCCTCCTCCTAGGAAGCTAGGACTTTCATCTCTGCAGATCATTTGTATCTCATCTCTGCTCTCACCAGCTTTTCTGGCCCTGGGCATGTTCTGTAATTTGCTGCCTCAGCCTCCTCATCGGGAAGTTGTACATAATAACAGAGCTACCTTCTAGGGTTGTTGTAAGAAATACCAGTTAATACACGTAAAGAAAAGAAAGAAAGTGAAGTCACTCAGTTGTGTCCAACTCTTTGTGACCCCATGGACTGTAGCCTACCAGGTTCCTCCATCCATGGGACTTTCAAGGCAACAGTACTGGAGTGGGTTGCTATTTCCTTCTCCAGGGGATTTTCCCAACCCAGGGATCGAACCCAGGTCTCCTGCATTGTAGGCAGGTGCTTTGCAGTCTGAGCCACCAGGGAAGTCATGTAAAGGGCCTGTGAAATGTCCTAGAACAGTGCCTGGCATGTACAAAGTCCTTGATAGAATGTTAGTCGTCATCATCACCACCATCATCATCTCATCCCATCTCTCCTGGCATCTTTCAAAGTACCCAGTTCATACAGAAAGCCAGTAAATAGTGGTCGAATAAGTGAGCAAAGGCAAGGGCTTCTTCCTGAACTCTCCCTTCTTTCTGCAGCCCTACTTGGGCTTCATGGGGAGGGGAAGGGATCTTTCTGCTTCCTTCAGGAGCCAAAGTAGAAGGATCGTATCTGAGGACCTCTGAACATTTCCCCAGTCCTCTGAGAGCATCCTTGACATGTAATGTCCAGCTATGAGCAATGGGGAAAATCTGCAAAAGGAAAACAATTTCACAGGTGGTTGGATGTTAGCCTTTGGTTCACGGTACATAGTAAATCTTCCATTTTTAATAGAAATGAAGAGGTATATATAACTTTTGGCCCATAAAAATCAGTTTCTCTTTGCTCCTGATTTGTAATAGTTTGTCAGGAGTGCTGTAACAACTTACCACCAAAAGAGTGACTTAAAATAATAGAAAAAAAAAATGTATTTTATCTCAGGTTCAGAGGCTGGAGGCCCTGCATCAGGAAGTCAGCAGAGTCATCCTCCCTCTGAAGTCTCCAGGGTGGAATCCTTCCCCTCCTCTCCCAGCTCCTGGTGCTTGCAGGCAAGCCTTGGTGTTCCCCGGCCTGTGGCTGCGTCATTCTGATCTCTGCCTCTGTCAGCACATGGGCTTCTTTCCTTGTGTCTCTCTCTGTCTCTGTATCTTTCCTCATGGGGACACCAGTCATATGGGCTGAAGGATCCACCCTAATCCAGTATGACCTCATCTGAACCTCACTAATTGCATCTGCAAATGTAATCATCTGCATCTGTACTTCCAAATGAGATCACATTCTGAGGTTCTGGGCTAGAAATGAATGTGGAGAAGGAGTGATAACAGGACTCAACCCAGGATTTTGTTAATATGTGTTTACCAAATATTTTTCGTGCATTTGCAGAGAGACCTACTTACTGGCCTGCTCGGGGCCACCCTGATGAAGCTGCTCTCCGATGCTCCCACAGTAGTTCTCGCCAGGCTTTCCACCAGCCAGCCCACTTCCGTCAGCCCTTGCTTGGCTGACATCTTGAATAACCTAAATCATAGGTCTTGCCTAATTAAACCTTTTATTGCTCTTGTTGCCTGCCAAGTTCACCACCCCTCCCCAGTGTGGCAACAGAGATGTCCACTAACATGTCCAGGCATTTTTCTCCCTCTTTCAACCACTGGGTTACTCACCACTTTTTCTCAAGCAGACCCTCACGTCGGCACCTCTGAACCTTTGGCCAAGCTGTCTTCTCCTTCTAGAAAGTCCTGCCACATTCCCTTCTCCAGAGTTGTCACTCATCTGGGGAAAACATAGATTTAATCTTTAAAGGACCTGCCTGAGAACAAAGCTAGCATGAGCACTGGGAGATATCACCAGATATCTGAGATAT